TCAAGGATGGCATCACTTTCGAATTGGCAGGGTATTAGGAAAACCTTTCCCCTGTTTTCCTGTATGTTTTTGGTGTGTGTGTGTGTGTGTGAGGGGGGGGGGTGTAGATAGAAGTTGTTTGGTGTTACATTTGGTGTTATGTTTGGGTAGAATGGTATATATTTGGTGTACACCATCTAGGTGTTCATGCAACATGGTTGTTGGTGAGAACTGACTTTTACACCACATCTTTTTATGAATATTTAATGGTGGGGTCTAGAAAGTACATATTACAGCCTAATACTCTTTCTATCTAAAAGTAAAAATAGGATTTCATATTTTACTAGAAGATGAAACTGTGTGGTTTATGCAGCTAAGAGAGATTTGTATGAACCACAGAATGTCTTTCTCAAAAGGAAATAAGAACATTTTTTGGGAAACCAAAAATGTACTCCTTTCCATGATAAACTTGACTCTTACAGAATTAATGGAGTGTTGAAAAGTGAAAAGTTTATGATTAAAATTTGTTTACGGGAGAAAGAAATCATGAGTTACTCATTCTTTTCCTTAAAAAGAAAATCAATAGTGTGAAAATTTTCTTTGCGCCAGGATAATTATGAAAGTGACATTCTGAGTTTTTTTTTTCTTTTGCCGGAGGATTAGATAGGTTAATGGCTGAAGTTTGGCTAGAGAGCGTTTTCATTGTAATGTCTATTCTGTTACTCCATTTGGACCAGGCATAACTAGGGCTTTATGAATGCCTGTAATTTGTCATCTAATAAAAATATCTTGTGTTAATTAATTATTCATACCTTTTGTTGTCCCCGAAATGTGCATAATGACTATCGACTAGGGCCCCGTTTGGCATCAGCGTTAGAGATTAGCGTTAGCGTTTTGAAAAAGCTATCCGACGATAGCCTTTAGCGCTTTCAGAATTAATCTGCACCATTAAAATTTTATCCAAAATGCTAACGCTAATCGAAAATGCTATTACCAAACAAAGCCTAGGTTTGCTTGTGCAATGTAAGACCAGTCCCACCGGTGTAGAATTTTGGTTCGGGTGTATATTTTTTTGCCTCCACAGGTGAGTTTTAATACATATCCACGCGTGATTCTTTTTTTTTTCTCATGCAATTATTGCAATATGAGGGAAAAAATTATTATTATTGTTAAAATAAATGTAAAACATATAAACACCGTCCAGATTTATAATATGGGAATTTCTCCGGTGCCTTTGCTAATGAAGGGGCATGGATGCCCTCCCACTAAATTGCTTCCATATAGACTTTTTAGTCGCATCATTTTAACTTTTAAAATTGCATAATGGCCTATCTCTTTATCCGTATTTAATTTAACTCATCTACACATGCTAATGTCATTTAAAAATATTGTTTTTAAATTGAATCAATCATTCCGTTCCAAAAAAAGTTTTAGTTCGATTTTTTAGGATCAAAATTAAAAACTTTGACCATGAAATTTAAAAAACAATATGTTGAATAATAATATAAATTTAAATTATTTGATTTGTCTTTAATTATAATTTTGAAATATCATATTTTTTTTATAAAATTTANTCATCTACACATGCTAATGTCATTTAAAAATATTGTTTTTAAATTGAATCAATCATTCCGTTCCAAAAAAAGTTTTAGTTCGATTTTTTAGGATCAAAATTAAAAACTTTGACCATGAAATTTAAAAAACAATATGTTGAATAATAATATAAATTTAAATTATTTGATTTGTCTTTAATTATAATTTTGAAATATCATATTTTTTTTATAAAATTTATTAATTATATATACACACACACACACACATACATACATGCATATTAATGGTTAAAGTGTCACATAGAAGACCTAATAGTTTAAAAAGTGTTACTCCGTATCTCACTAATTGAACAACAAAAATCGGTGTTTGAATAATGGCTTTTTCACTTGGCAGTTTGATCTGAAAAGTCAAAATTCGGAAAGCCAAAGAGAGTGAGTATCTTTTGGACTTGGTTGTTAGAAAAACTAATTTTTTAAAATTAGTTTTCTTGAAAGATATTTCAATATTATATGTAAAAAGATTAAAGTAAAAAAAAATAAAATTTAAAAATTGAAATATAAAAATAAATCTGATGTCAAAATCAAAAGAAAAAAATTATTAAAACTTTATATACTCCCTCTATCCGGAAATTTTCTTCTCATTTGACTTGTCACGATTTCCAATGCTACATTTTGACTATTAATAACTATATTTATACATAGGTATATTTTATAAAATTTTGATATTTCAAAATTATGATTCATTAGAAATATATTGATATTAAATTTAGAGTAAATTCCATAAATAGTCCTTTATAACAGGGGGGTTTCCCTATTTAGTCCTCTATTATCAAATACTATCCTAGTGGTCTTTTTTTATGAGTATCTTTTCACAAATAGTCCTTTATCTTCTATCATGTTGGTGTTAATTTGAGGGCTAAAAGTGTAATTTGACAATGATAATATATATCTTTTTTATCATACACAATTCTAAAGGCTGTTCCGTTTGAGTCGTTTGTGAATTATAGTCGCTTTCTACTACAACCATAGTATACAAATGTGGTTTTTCGTTGGAATCCTAGCCCACAATCATAGTCATTATTTTTTGTGTTATCCGCTTAACCAATATCAGAACACGTCACTGGACATAATGTTGATATCAAATTATACTTTTAGCCTTTAAATTAACACCGACATGGCAGAAGATCAAAAAAAGACCATTTGTGGAAAAGCGCCCTTAAATAAAGGACTACGTGAGTAATATATGATAACAAAGAACTAAATATGGAAACCTCCCTGTTATAAAGGACCAATTATGGAATTTACTCTTAAATTTATATCATAATATAATATATATTTTCCACAAATTAGAGTCAAAGTTTACAAAATTTGACTAATAAAAGTCGAATGTGAAGAACATTTTCGGACGGAGGGAGTACTCTTAATTTTTATATAAATTATATGAAAGTGAAATTTAGTACTTCATATATATATATATATATATATATATATATATATATATATATATATGTAATTAATAAATTTTATAACAAAATATGATATTTCAAAATTATACTTAAAGACAAATCAAATACTCTCTCCGTCCCTAAATATTTGCCACATTTGTATTCCCTAGGAAAAATATCAAGTTTTTTCAATTCATTTTATATACATATTGTTATAGAAATAAAAAATAAAATTTACATATCAAAAAACTACATGAAAAAGTTCTTCGAAATAAGAGGTATCAAGAATATTTTATTTTATCAAATAATTAATTAAAACGTAGAAATAAACAAAAGTTCCCACTACTTCTGAAAAAGTAAACGTTGCAAATAATTTGGGACGGAGGGAGTAGTTTAAATTTATATTATTATTCAACATATTGTTTTTTAAATTTCATGGCCAAAGTTTTTAATTTCGATCCTAAAAAATCAAATTAAAATCTTTTTTTTTAGAACGGAATGATTGATTCAATTTAAAAACAATATTTTTAAATGACATTAGCATGTGTAGATGAGTTAAATTAAATAAGGATAAAAAGACAGGGCCATTATGCAATTTTAAAAGTTAAAATGATGTGGCTAAAAAGTCCACATGGAAGCAATTTAGTGGGAGGGCATCCATATCATGCCCCTTCATTAGGAAAGGCACCGAAGAAATTCCCAAGTGGGACGTTTTTAAAATACTACTCCATATAAAAAGAGATGAAGTTGAAACAAATGGTGTATAACTCATTTAATAAAAAAATGAATATATAAACATATAAAATCTATTTCAATTTATTTTAACTTTTCTAACTCTTTGGAGATCCTACTCCTGTGGGATCCAACTGAGTTGTTGTGGTAACTCTTTGATGTTTAATCTAATTCGTTCTAGTTTTTTTTTAATATTTGAATTTTTCTAATTTGTTCTAGTTTTTTTCCAAGATACGAGTCATAAATCTTGTAAATCAAAGCTCGAGTTCGCACTATCATTAATACATTATCACTCATACACTACCAATGCTGGTCACCCCAACATTGCCGGCATTGACCGGTGGTCAACTTGTAGTTGTCATATTAAACTTTCAATTTTAATCAATCGTCATCATTTTTTCATGACACTGTCATTACATTGCTATTTAAGAGATTTAACTAGGTGACTTTATCTTAGTACTTTGGTAAAATTTTACTCGTATCTAGAGATATTTCCTTTTTAAATCTTGAACTCAATTAATCTCTTCGAAGTTTGAACATCTAAAATTATTTTTCCAATTTGAAGAAGAAACTTAATAGTGCCGCCTAATCCTTAGCTTAAAAAATGTTGTTTGACATGACCATCTCATAGAGGTTCCAAAACTCAAACAAAAAAAACTGATGTCTTGCTTTAACCGACTTGAAATTCACAAACACAATGTTGGCTTTAAAGTAGGGGTAGAACATAATATTTATCTCTAACAGAGAACTTTCTTATTTTTAACTTCAAAATATAACTATTGCATTGTGAGAATGCGATATATTGACATTTCATAATATTTATTTGTATTATATACTGGTATTATGGACATTATAGTACCTACTTGAAACTAAAAATATAAATGTTCTATTTAGGTTCTTTTTCTATGTTTTACTCTTTTTAGTCTTTCTGGCTTGGCAATAACATTTGCGACTAGTGTTAGCCATCTTGGATAATTTTTTAGTTGTACAGATAAATAAAAAAATGGTAACGTTAAAACTATGTCGAATAGCGTTAAAAACTAGGGCTAAAAAGCAAAATATGAGTAAAACATTGATTAAATCTAAAAATAGGAGTTGAAAGATAAAACCCCCAAAATAGGAGTACCCTCTCCTCCACTCAATTGTGTCATGCGGAGCTCAATTGTGCCATGCCAATGTTGCTCAGCTGTACAAAATTTCCATCAATGGCTGCTCAACTGTGTCATGCCGCCTTCGGCAACGCCAGCACCCCAACCGCTGCAACGCCCCTACCGCCACTGATATTGCGTCTCTACCGCCGCTGACATAGCGCCTCTACCATCATCGATGTTGATGTCCCTTTAATCTCCATCACTGCCGCCATGATCAGCTGCTTCAAATTGTACCATTTGAATCTCAGCCGCCGTTGTTTCATTAGGCATTGATTTTGGTTTGGTTTTTTCTTTTCATTTTTGTATTTGATTGTTTTTCTTTTAATTTTTTTGTGGTTGTTTTTTATTAGTTGCGTTTCAATTTTGCTCACAATTTCAGAAAAAATTGGTGATAGTGATAAGAAACTTGACATTGTATGTTGGCAATCTTGACGTTTCACTTTTTTTTGACATTTTATATTGGCATGTTTGGCATTATGCAATAACATGTTTGACATTATGCAATGATATGTTTGTCAGTATGCATTATCGTCTTTGACATTGTGATTTTGGTTGGCATTGTATTAAAAGCTTTTTCCCTTTGCAATTTCTTTAATTTCTGGTTAGGATATATGAAAGGTCTCTTTAATGGTCAAAATCCTTTCACTAATCTTTTGTTTAGTGTTTGATTCCTTAATTGCGTTTTGTACCCCCAAAGAAAACGTTATAAATATTTGTTCATTAAGTTAGTGTTTTACGGAATTTTTTTCTTGTTCTCCTTAGTACATAAAAAAATTTATAACCATCACATAAAAAAACTGAAGAATTAGCTTTTATATAGGATTGTTTTGTGGGAGAAGGAACAAACTACAAGTAAAACATATGTCATATCCTCAAAAGAGGAGTTCAAAGTTAAACTCCTCTAAATAAGAGTATTTAACATAATTAATAAAACAAAAAAATGCTCCCCACACTCACTTTTTTTTAAAGATGCATGCGACTATATAATAAGGAGCACGATCAGATATCCACCGCATGCGACAATTTTTTTTGCAGTCATGTTTTTGAGTTTTTCATGTTTTTATTTTTTTATAAAAAGTTAAAATAAGGATTTTAACTTAAATAATAAAACAAAAAAATGCTCCCCACATGCGCTGCATTTGCGGCCAATTCCAGTGGTGGCCAAGTTCAAAACTAAAAAAATTTGGCCAATTTCACAACAATTGTTGTCAACGGTGATGCCCACCACCGCCATCATCGCCGCGACATACCTGCCACTATCACTTGAATCTCCACCACCGCCGGCCTATGCTTCGCCGCATCGCTACAAACGAAACCTACCATTGACGCCTTTGATTTTTTGTCGTCACCACCGACGACATCACCGTTCTATACCATTATTAACAACACTACCATCACAATCTGCACCATCGTCGCCACAGTGTAACATTAACAGTCAATACAGTGTCAAAAAAGACATAATAATGTCAAACATGGCACCATGAAATGTCACATATGACAATATATAATACCATAGATGTCCATATATAATGCCACATATGCTCATATATAATGTCACAATGTTACACAATGATATAATGTCAAACCAATTCTAATGACACTGTGTACTAGATACTTGAAATGTAATAGTTTTCTACAGCTCACTAAAAGCATGCAACGAAAGTTTTACTGGTAGACCAATTAATCTTCATCGATGTTTCTCTTTACCTTTTTTCTTATAGCAAAAAAAAAACTAGTCTTCAGCATCATTTCGAATCTTGAACTATCACTGCCCCCATCCATCCCCTTTAAATCACTCAAATTCATAGCAAAATGGCATATCTTACTGGGGCAAGGTTCCCATGACATTGCCCGGCAAATGTCATGGGATGACCCGGGGGCGCTCCGGTGCCTCGTTCGTAAAATTGACAGTTCCTACCCCTCCTAACCCCCCCAGTAAACCCCCCCACCCCGCCACGAACCATACACACCCCCACCCCCTTCAATTGCACCCCACAAGTTGGTTTTGACTTTGAAGTCAAATTTTAACTCCAAAGTCAAAATCAACTTCTGGGGTGCAATTGAATGAGGTGGGGTGTGTGTTTGGGTCGGGGCGGGGTGGGGGGTATACCAGGGGGTTAGGGGGTAAGAACCGTCAATTTTATGAACGGGTCACCGGAGCACCCCTGGGTCATCTGTCATGAGAACCTTGGTGATCTTACTGAAATAAATAAAGTAAAATCAAATCAAATTCAAAGCTTATCGAGTCCAAGTTCTAACTATTTTAGCAAACTGTAAAATGCACATGCGAAATAAACATACAACTAAACTCACATACATACATGTGTCAAAATCAGAATGTATACTCAAATCCATAATTTCAAGCACTCAAACATGGCCACTGCCGTTCTTGATTATGTGGGTTGATTCAAACATATATTTAATTAATTACTCCTGTTTAGAAAAGTTTAAGTTTGAATTCCTATTTTGAGAATATGATCCATGTTTTACTTCTATTTAGGAGGTTTTCTTTTGTTTTGTTCATAAATTAGCAGCTAAAGTAGTTTTTATTTTGTTTAGTTTTTATTTTATTTTAAATTTTACTCCTACTTTAGGGTATATAAGTTTGAGACTCCTACTTTGGGTATATTACTAATGATTTAATCCTATTTGGGGGATTTTGTTTAAAACTAGTATTGAATATTTTTTTAATGATACAAATCAAGATTAAGAATGATAACCCAATCAAACTAATGACAGATTTGAAGTAAAACTTTGATTGCGTCTAACTCCGATCCCTGGCTTGTCACGCCATCTTCTTCAAGCGACGTGCTATGAACCTAGTTTCGGAACAACAAATATCAACTTCCAGATTTCAGATCGAACACATGTTCCAAATGTTAATACAGGATCTCCGAGTTTTATGAATGTAAAACTGAGATTTGAGACCTCACGCAAGTAGTGATAAAGACGGCGTGATTTTTGTAAACGTAGTGAACTCCGATCCTTCTTGGTTGGCTCGCTCAACGATCTTGTCTCTGTATTTGTGCACCACAGTTCATGAGAAGAGATGCTGGCTGTATAATCAAGTACATAATCCTAGTAGAGTTCGTGTGGGATTCGTGCGTCCAGACTAACTATTCTGCAAAACTTGCTTACCAGGAGAGACAAGAGTTCAAGTAACCTCAGGAGTTCAAATGGTGTATTCCACCAGCAAAGCTTGCGCATGTGGAGTGTAAAACAAATCACACTGCTAGTAGAACCCTTTTTCTAGAATAATAATAATGAGCGTTAGACTCCAATTTTATAAGAAACTCCTTCAAGGTACGACTGTTGACAGCACATGTTGGACCAAGTGACACAACACATGTTCAAACCACATGATGATGCATGAATATGATGCTACAACTCTATATTCAAGTAGAATAGCTAGTCATAAATACATCAATGCCGATAAGAGTTTACAAGTACTCAACTAAACATCTCATAAGGAGGAAAACACATGGAACTAAGGGGCTGTTTGTTTCAGCCTCTTAATGGTTCAGATGTCTGAATGGTTCAACACTTAATGATTCAGACTGTTTGTTTCAGCCTCTTAATAGTTCAAATGTCTGAATGGTTAAGAGATTTGCCTCTGAATGGTTAAATATTATACAGAGTCTGAATGGTTAAGACCTCTTATCTGAATTGATCAGACATTTGCCTCTGAATAGTTAAGCAATATACTAGCTCTTAATGGTTCAGACCTCTTACTGGTTCAGCACTTAATGGTTCAGACCTCTTACTGGTTCAGCACTTACCTATTCAGAAGTTGCCAAACAGCCCCTAAGAATCTTCCCCTTTGGAATTTTTTGACAAAAGACAAATGCCCAAGCTATTTTGAACCTCTTCTCCCCCTTTTGCACAAAAATTCCAAAGTATTATCAAGATAAACCGACTGTAGGATTGTAGACTTTAGTGTCCGCTCTGGCCTGGCCTCAAGTGTCCGCTCATAGGATTGTAGATTGGCCCCACAAACCAACACAAGTCTTTCTCGCACACTTTGTCCTCACTAGTGCACGCCCAAGGAATTTCCCAGGGGGTCACCCATCCTAGAATTGCTCCAAATCAAGCACGCTTAACTTTGGAATTTCTGAGTGATGAGCTCTCGAAAAGAAAATACACCTTGTTGGTATGAGTAGTATTATAAACCTTTTTGAGCCTTTTCTTTTCCACAGTCCATTTATTTTCAAATTAGGGTATTACATTGGGGGGTAAAGTGAGGAGTAACATTCAATCCAAGGAGGAGTAGATACAAAACAAAATGTGCCGAGATATGAGCTGTTAGTCATCAACCCAAATGCGTGATAGACATGACACCCTGCCCCCCATATGTAAGAGGAGTCGGGAGCATGTGGTGTCTAGCTAGTGAGTACGGTTACGGTAGCTCTTTCCCTATAAAAAATTGTTGTTTCAACAGTAGCTCTACAAAAAAAAAGTTCCAAAAACTCCATTTTCCACCCATTTAGATCTGCGCTATTTTTACTCGTTTTCACCCTCACATTCTCACTTCTACTCTCCATATTTTCTCTATATTTTCTCATCTTTCACCCTATATCTTGTACTTTATCCATGCTATTAATTTCTTGTATTGCACTACTTGTTTCACTTAGTGTTATATACATACAAAATACATATACATACATACATACATATGTATGTATGTATATATATGTATGTATGTATATTTATGTATGTATGTATCTATATGTGTGTGTGTGTGTATGTATATATCTCCTCTTATTATATAAACTTAGAATACAGTTAGGAACCCATTAATGTTATGGTTTTTTTCCATCCAAAAAATTGTACTTTTAGGCTTTAGTTTTGTACCATACCATATAATCCCCACTATGCCCCTAAAGTTAGAATCTCTGTCTAATGTCCAGTACACACTAGGTATCCTTTTGCGTAATCATCCAAGCACAACCCAAATCTGGGTAAATGCTCGTAATATCTTAGAAATAACCTAAAATTAGTCGATTAGAAATGATTCAATTGAATGGCGATGCAATTTCATTCTTCTCTGTAATTCGAGTAAATGCTCGCGATATCCACGACTTCATCTGCTATAGGAGTAAATGCTTGAATTGGCGTTGCGATTTCATTGTGGAATTTGAGAGATTCCCGCGATGCTTGAATTGGCGTTACATTTTTGTCAATAATGCTGCAATTTATAATCGGTTTTTGGAGATGGAATGAATCACAGTCTTGTGCTTTGGTTTCAGGTTACTCAATTGTTTCAGGGATTTTTTAAATTTACACCCATTGCTTTTGAATGGTTTTTTCCTCCAATTGTGATGGTTATTTGCAATTACCCAGTTTGTTTTCATTGTTTTAAGTGAATAATCTACTTTTTAAAAATTCCAAGTTCAATTTCATTTGCTCTAATTTCCGACATCATTGTTAAGGTAAGTACTATTTCTTCACAGTATAATTCTTCACAGAAATCTTTGTTAAGGTAAGTATTATTTCTTTATAGAAATATGTTTCTTAAAGCAAGTTTAGAGCCTTTCGTTAAAGTCATTGGTGAAATTTGTTATGATTACCGATCAGTTGAAAACTATTTTGTTATTATATTTGAATACTTACTTTAGAATTTAAATCAATAACCATTCACACTATACTACCCCCATTTTAGTATATTGGTTTTCATAATGTTCAAGGGATGGCAACAACAAAAATGATTACGCATATTAAAGACAACAACCTAGAATGGACGTGCAAGGTCAGGGTTGTGGAGAAGCGTAATATAAGAGATTCACAGTTTAGTCCCAATAAGTATAGACCTTATATCTTGCAAGATCAAGAGGTAAGTTTAATATTCTCGTAGTGGTATCAAAGTATGAAACCAATTATAGTTATTCGATTATTTTATTTAGTTATTAATTTATGTACTTTATTAAACATAGGGAACGAAAGTTTCCGCCATGAGAAACAACAAAGACATTGATCAAGTACAACATAACTAATGTTGTTGTGTTGCCAAGTAAATATTATGTTCAACCGCCATCCCCCCATTACAATTATATCTGGATGCTTAGTAAGCAGACTTATATTGAAAAGTCCCTGATTCAGATCAAATTGAAATAGCAAATGAGCAAAAAGATACACTAACAACATTTTATGACTTCTACAACCTTAGTGGAACTAAGAGTCCCATAAGTAAGTAATATATTTCAATTTATATGTAAAGAATTGCACAGTTTTTGTATCGTAAATCATTTTCCATTATCAGTGTTCTTGAGAAGATGCCCAAAGAATATATTTCAGTTACTGGTAAGGCAAAGACAGCATACGATTTCACAATTGTTAATGAGGTGTAAACAAATTTTGCCGTAATGCAACCTTTTTATTTTGTACATATAACCAACGTTTTAAATGATTCCTTAACTAGAATGAAACCAATGTTACTCACGCTATGGCAAGATTTTCCATTTACCAAGGGAAGAAACTCATGTTCGTGTTGGATAGTGGGCGGTTTTCAATAATTTTGGGGAAGAGGGTTATTGTCAAACCTTTTGATGGTAAAACATTATTTACCAATGTACATATTTACAAAAGTATAATAAATAATCATCGTAATACAATAACGGCGTATAACAGGTGTTTCTATATCTATTCGATTCGATTCCATCTTTGAACTGAATCCCACCAATCCAAAATCTGAATCCCTTAATTAAAAAAATGGTATAAAAATACTACTCTTATTAAAATAAATACTTCTTTAACCATTAATAGGAATGTACAACTTATAAATCACTTTAACATGCGAGATGAGAGCATTGACCTTATGAAGAGGTACATCGACCTGAAGAGATATGAACATGTCTTAACTGCGCTTGCTACCCTCTTGGCCAACCGAAGACCAAAGTTGTTAACATTGCCCAAATGAATATCCAGGTATGAATCATGGATCAACATTGAAATTGTGATTTCTAAAAACACTACACAAAATTTGACTTTTTATAACAAGGTAATTGTGGCAGATTCTAGAATTTGCCACAAACTGTGATGAAAGAAATGTATTTGTGGCAAACAAAAAGTATTTGTGGCAGACTGTGATGAAGGAAATGCATTTGTGGCAAACTTTTATGCCACAAAAAGTCAAATTTTTTGTAGTGAAAAGGAGTTTGGGTGGAAGTAGATATGCGAATTATAAATGATGCTGCAAATTTCTACATTGGTTGTGACTATTTTAATCGAAAAGTCTGTGGCCTAGAAGGGGGAAGCTATAGATGTTTGGATTATGGCAATCCTCATGCACGCGCTGAAAAGAAGTGAGTATTGTTAAGTACTTTATAATCACCTACAATGTTTATATTACAGTTTACATTAAGATCAACGGTCCAATTTTAGGTACAAGATTCAAGTTGAGTTGACAGATGAAATGGGACAAATACTAGGAACAATTTTTAATGAAGATTTCAACTGCTTGTTGCAGATCACGAACACTATTAATCGGTTAGGATAAATTGACATTTCAAAACTTCAAGTCAATATTCACATTAATTCAATTATATTCAAATTTACCAAAATATACAAGGTGGCCTATTTCACAATCTCAATTCACTACACAATTATCACCAATAAGCTTCACAACACAAACATATTCAATTTTAAAAAAATAGTGACCTATGGGGAACGGAGTTCCAACGATTACCGTCATGCAATCAAACATCATAACATAACAAATTACAATTAAATAGATTATTCTTGATGCTCCACACAAATTGTCGAACCTTCTCACACAATAGAAGCCCCTCTCCTGCCTTCACTGCCACTACCAGTAGTTGCACAGTAGGAACACCGATAAGTAGTAGCAATCATTGGTGGTAGTGGCAACAACATCCAGCGCGGTGGCAGCAGCACCCCAAAACTTGGGAAGCAAGGCAACAATAGAGAAGACACAGCGGGAAACATAAATCTACGCCACAGAAGCTCACAGAAACCACCTGACATCCCGGCGTCTAGCTATCATCGCTGCTCTGACCAGACACTAGCAATGACAAAGGTCGAGCGTGGTAGCAACCTTAAAACCTGGAAAGAATAACAAGAGCAAATCAACAAGGTCAACGCAACACCACAACGAAGAGAAGAACATAAGAGGAACATGGAAAGAATAGTGGAAAAAAGAGAATGAATAGAAAGGAATAACAGAGCAACCCCAAGCAAAAATACCAAATTTTCCCAAAACAGTTTCAAGTTTGCAAACACAATCATTCAGGAGATTCATAATCATATTCACAAATTCAATATCAAATGGGCGGAAATATATCATTGAGTACTAATCTATAAATCAATCTTAATGGTAGATATATCAAAACCACGAATCACATTGATCAATTGAAAAATTCCAAATCCCAAATTAAACGGCGTGAGTTCCTCCTAACGTCGAACTACCTTCGGCAACCTCTGGCCTTGTCTCTCTTTCCTTTTGATCTAGTCCCATGAAAGAAACAAAGAAGATGACTAATACATGGCGATTGTGATTAGGCGCACCAATGTGATCTGTATGTGATCTCTATATAGATAGATTACGAAAAAACCTAAATTCTAATTTAATTAAAATTGGTACAAACGCCAAATTACCTAGTCTGTTAATGGTAACTTGGGCCCACTAACTGTGATTCACGATCCATTTTCATTGTTGGGTTCAAAACATCGATCTCTATAGAATAGAAGAAATTCCTTAATTAAAAAGCCAGTATCCACGTAAACCTCATCTAAGCCTACTCAATATTTAATTAATTATTTAAACTAATTAATATTACTAAGCTGGGTTTCAGGGCGTAACATCGACTGTTCGTGATATTTGGCTAAGTCATTGGGAACCACATGAAAGAATTCAATTTTCTAAATTGATAGTCTATATTCCTTGGTTTGCAGGCATCCTGCCAAGGCCAAGGGACACGATCCAATGTCATCAGACTATCCAATGCAAAACTCAACACTTTCAAAATGACTTTTGAGTTTAAAAGTACTTTTTGAAAGATGATGAAGGAGCTGTATAAAAATATTCAGATGTAAGAAAATGATTTTATCTTGAGTCAAGATTTTAGTGGAGAAAGTGAGCTTGTTTACAATTGATTCTAACGGCTTTAGTCTTGATTTCAAACCTGAGTTCTTGATCTTGATTCTTGTACTTTTTTGTCATTCCAATAATCAACTTTGACAATTCCTTGTGTTGATTGTTACATTCCATTTCAATATCAAAACCTACATGGAACAAGCCTTGGCATTAGCAATAAAACCTAGGCTAAAATGTATTCCAACACTTATTCGTGTGTGTGCGCGCGCGCACACACACACACATACATATACATATATATATATTATAGAAATAAGAATGATTAATCACCTTTAGATCTACTCAAATTATTTGTATTAGCCGGATCCACGTAATCAGCGGAGTATCTTTTGTAATGTCTAGGTGTTCTATTTAATAAAAAAAAAGAGACAACATCAAACCTGAATGGGAAGGAGAGACGAGGACGGGGTGCGGCAATCCGGATTCTTCTCACATGATTCCCAAATCAAGTCTTAGGTTTCCTTGGAGATATGAGGCCTTAACCCCTTTGGAAAGGACCTATGATCCGGATTCTTTTCACCGTAGGAGGCGCAAACCCCTTCATGTCAATTCCTTGTTATTTTTGTCTTCATCAAGTAAAAATTGCATACAAAATCAGGTTCTTTTTTCATAGATTTTCCCTTTTTTCATTAATAAACATATATTTTGTGGTTGTAATTTGAGTTGTCATAACTTTAATTACAATTTTCATTCCTTATTGCCTTCTAATATAGGCAAGAATCACAAATTAAATCATGTTTATTCTATTTATTTTTCGGTTGTTGATTATTTATAAATATATGGTTATTTTCTTTTATCTTTTTTACTTTTCGTTTGCTTTTGTTTGATATGGTGCATTATCAAAATAATGATAATGCATTGACATGTGAAGATAATTCATTCTCATAATCAAGGTAAATAATACTACTTCCGTCCCGTGAAACATTTCCCCTTTCTTTTTTTATCCGTCCACAAAACACTTCTCATTTCTATTAAAAAGTCACTTTTACCCCTTACTTTTTCATACCCTAACTATCACATCATACCTTTTTACTAATAATCTATCCATCAAATCATACTTTTACCCATCACATCAAAGGACATTTTTGGAAATTCAATACCAAAATACACTCCCTTAAATCCCTTCTAAAAAGCAAATGTCCCATGTTTTACGGGACGGAGGTAGTAATACATTCTATTACTATGTATTTTCATAATCAAGGTAAAGGATAATGTATTCTATTACTGCACTATAATAATCCAAGTTGGTGTACATGATGATGATACATATGAATTGTTTTATACACTTCGAATAATGTCAATTTTATAAAGATTACAATTTGTATTAAATAGGTTAAAGTGCAAGATGTGAGTTTCTTTTAAAAACAATTGCTGATTTTTCATTCATATTTTGCATTTTTATTCTCCTCTTACTATTTTTTTCTTTTCTATTTTTTTTTATAGAAAATTCTCTTTTCTATTTTCTTTTGCTTTTTTGCATCTATTGCCTGCATTTTTTATTCATTTTACTTCAACATATATATTGTTTCTTCTTTTTTACCCCGAGTACTTTTTTTTCCTATTATTGTACATTGTTAGAATCACTCTTATACATTTACATGAGAAGACAATAAATTTTGTGGATTAAAATAAAGGACAACATATTTTGTTATTGTGCATTCTTAGAATCAAAGTTAATGTACATGATGGTGAAATTCTCTTGACACAGACACGATGCATCCGTATCTTGTGCATAGTGAATTTTCTACAAACAATGGTGCATTTAAAATGTTCTATGATACATTTGAAAATGAGTTGGAAATACTTTGAATGATGCAAATTTTAAAACAAAAAAGGTATTTAATAGGTCCAAGTGCAACTTTGGAATTTCTTTTAAAAAATACTCCCTCCGTCCCATAAAGTGTTATCCATTATAACTAAAGTTGAAATTAAGGGAGGGATAATTTTGTGTTAACTTTCCAAAAATACCCTTGATGTGATGGGTAAAAGTAGGATGTGATATGTAGATTATTAGAAAAAAGGTATGATGTGATAGATAGAGTTTGAAAAAGTAAGAGGTAAAAGTGGTTTTTTAATAGAAATGGGTAAAGGTTTGTGAGACACAATTTTTTTGAAACGTGTAAATCTTTTTGGGACGGAGGGAGTAAATCATTGCCTATTAGCTCAATGGTAGAGCATTATGTACTACGGATGTAGGTTCGAATCCTGACTAGGTAAAATATTTCTCAAATGTATATTAAACTTTTCTTAAATACAATGCGTTTTCAAATATTCTCATCACATACAAAGCCTTTGCATTCTTAAGAATACACGCTGCATCAACATCATAAAATCACATATTTTCTATTTAATCACCATAAATAAATAAAAATGCATACAGCTTCATATCCCATCTCATGAGCAATTCACCACATATTTTAAAATAAAAAACATGGATATAATGTAGGATGTAGTCATTGAATGGATAGACGATTGCTTCACAAGCATATATGCATTATGACACCGTACTAATGCATTACGAGAGGAAAAATGTATTTAACAAGAAATAGAAAAAATTTAATCGAATTCTCCCTCCCAAAAAGTCTTTCCTGTTTCATTTTTTCCGCGTCTCATAAAACACTTCGATCCCGTCTTGAATGCCAAAAAAACTTTCAAAATAACTTCTACCCACAATAAAGAAGAAATGTTGTAAATTTTAGGCATTTTAGATGTCGGTAGAAGTGTTTTATGGAATGCGCAAAAAATGAAACAGGAAAGACTTTTTGGGACGGAGGGAGTAGAATATATTTTCAATTAATGAGGCGGAATTAGAAACCAATTAAAACTCAAAAGCAATTAATGCATTTCTAAACTATGGAGTATTATTATGGAAAGATCCATTCTCACACGTGGGGAGAGTGGAGAATTTGTGTTCCTAATTTGCGCCTATTATACAATCTCTCCCATTTTAATGAACCCTAATTAATACTTACCAAAATAGAATTCAACTTCACGGATGCATCCAAGTCGTACGTTTCAACAGATCCAATGGATCTCATTTATTCTTATTTCTTTCACCAAGGTCCATTCTCACAACAACCTGTTACAAATTATAGCGGGAATTTAAAAAAATTATAATCCGAACTTATAACACGTTCGGATTTTTTAAACCGGAAACATAAAATAAAAGAAATACAAGAAGTAGTCGGTGGTCGGAAACTGGACGAAGAAGGAAGACGAAGAAACAGTGTCTTGTTGGGGATGACGGAACAGAGACGAAGGAGTAAAGTCGAACGGAAAAATTCTTAAGGAAAGCGGAGTCTCCAAAGCTTTCCTTAAGGTAGTATCGCCAGTCTCCCGCACTTTCTAACGTGGACGATCTCCTCCCATGATAAAACCGCAAATGCACAAGATCTAGAGTGGTAGAACCTTGTGCCGACGAACGAGATTAATGGAGAGATATTCGCCAGAAAAATGATCGAAACAGTGAGTTGGAACACAAAGATTTTTTCTGAGATGGATGTTTATCTTTGCTGCAAAGACCTCCTTATACGCATGCTTAATTTTCTGTCACTTTGTTATTAACGAAGTGCCCACGTGTGTTCGATTCGGTCTCCAAAAAAAATAGGGTTCGGCCCACGCCCTCACCATGTCACAATGCGTCGCGCGTGCATGTGTGTTGTGCCAAGCCAGGCGGCGGCAGAGATGGGGCTCCCTTGGTTCTCCCTCCATAAATTGCTTTTACAATGTTATCAAAGACTAGCATATAAATGGAGGAAGTTGAAGGGTTTCAAATCTGATGTGGGATACGTGGGTTTTTTCCCCTTCCAAGTGAGCAACTTTGTGAATTAATTTTTCATTCACCTGAGCACCAATTTTGGCGCACAATATACCAAAATACTCGTCTCACTTAGAAATATTCGTCCATAATTATTTTAGAAAAATAATTTTGTGGACTCTACCAAATTTA